TTTTTGAATTCGTTTCCCATTTAGGTTATTATAGAATATTGGGCAGAGTTCCCTGTGCTCTACAGTAGGTCCTTGTTGGTTATCTGTTTTAAATATAGCAGTGTGTACATGTCAATCCCAAACTCCTAAGGTTTTGGTGCTTGTGATAATGTTTTCAGAGAAATTATGCAGTCTAAAATACTAATGTATTCCTACTCTTGTGTATTTTATTTTCTATGAAATATATTTATGTGCATATCCATTATCATATCAATCACAATGCCTGCTTGTTGTTATTTCCTTGAGCCTATTAAAGTAAATGATTTATATTTTTCCTAGAAGTTCATATACAGTGCTTTTTTATTCACTCATAAAAACCATATTTATTTTGAAAGCTATAATTTCACATACTCACACTAGAATTATATATAATAAAGTCCCAGCCTGTAGGGAACAAGTTCGAAAATAAATAGGCGTACCTGAAGTAGAAAAAAAATAGGCATACCTGAAGAAACAAAGAACAAATTTCAAATATATTGTACACAGGATTATTTGCTATTTATCAAATTTTATATTTTGTTTAGTATTTTTTCATTTTTTTCCATAAAAAAGAGTCCATAGTATAGTTAAATGTTTTTCTTTGTTTTTTTTGGTATGCCCGCCGTGGCTCACGGGCCCAGCCGCTCCGCGGCATGTGGGATCTTCCCAGACCGGAGCACGAACCCACGTCCCCTGCAACGGCAGGCGGACTCTCAACCACTGCGCAACCAGAGAAGCCCTAGTTAAATGTGTTTTAAATGTTTGTATCCTTATAGGTCTTTTCATATTCTTACATAAATAAATAACAAAAGGAAAGTATTTATTTGAATACAATGAGATGATTGGACTCTTGATTTTTGGAGTCAAACAGAGATGAGTTCAAAATTCAGACTTCGCTACTAATTAGCTGTGTGATTGTAGGTGGGTGACTTGACCTCTCTTAGACCTTGCTTTTTACCTCCCTAAGAAGGAATAACATCTGCTTTGCCGGGTTGTTGTAAAGGATTTTTATCCATCCATTTCATCAACATATAAGCATTTCTAAGTGCTACTACTTTATAACACAATTTTTTTTTTTTTTTTTAGTTGGGAGGAAACTTTAATGAAGAAAAAATTACGAGCAAAAGCAAGAGGTACGTAAATTTGTTTTTCCTCCAGAGACCATACATACTCCAGCAATGTGGATGAAATGTCCCCATTTTCAACCCTATATATTTATCCAAATCAGATAGATAGATAGATAGATGATAGATAGATGATAGATAGATGATAGATAGATGATAGATAGATGATAGATAGATGATAGATAGATTCAAGGTGCTCTTCTCCTTCCTACAGAGAGCTGTTTATTAAGGCAGCAAATATTTCTTGAGTGTCTAATCCATGCTGGGCACTATGCTTGGTGCTGGAGGCTGTGAACAAGACAACGAGTAGTAGTCATTCCACATGCTAATACAGGATGCTAGTTAAGAGTTCTGGTTACAAGAAACAGCTACTCTAGCAAATGTAAGCAAAAATGGGAATTTATTGGAAAGCTACTACTGGTAGGGTTAAACATCCAAACCCTGGATAGGGTAGAACCAGGAATTCATGGACCTTCCCCTTTGGGCAATGATGTCATTATGGTGACTCAGCCCCAACAAGTCCCAACCGCTGTGTCTTTCAGGTCAAGTTTCTGAAGAGAGAAACTCATTGGCTCAGCTTGGGTACAGTGTCTATCCCTGGTCCAATCACCCATGGCCAGAATGGCCAGCTCATGTGGCTTGAACCTGCCCAACATATCTGAGTCTTCCGAGAAACTGAAAGAGTTTGTGAGTAGAGCAGACACTCGTTAGTTTCTATATCTTGCAGCCCTAACATTTCAATAGGTTCAGGGTTATATTCAAAATATTTAACAACTGCTATGACCCAGGCAGTGACTAGTCCAACCAGTGCTGGCTGTAGCCTAGAAACAGGGTCCAGGAGGGTCCTTGCTGGGTCAGGCGTTAACCCTGTATAACACAAATATTGAAATAAATAAAACTCCCCTTCATTCAGTTATGTTACAGTTCATCAATATCTCAAAAATGTGGCACCAGAATTAAATACAAATATGATAAAATGTTAAACAAAAAGCTCTTCAAGTCTTTGTTTACCTTTATTACTATGTAGCACTGATCAGCTACTTTGGGAAGTGCTAGGTAAGTGTGTGTTGGATGGGTGGACCCTTCAAACAAGAGTCACTGCCAAGTTACAACAGGACTAGTTACCTCCTGTGATCTGGTCACTAAAATGGCTAATTGAAAACTGAATTGCAGCCATGAGGCTTCAAGAGAGGCTCACCTCCACTATCCTTCACTGAAGCAAAAAGAAGGTCTGGTCAGACCCAAATGAGACCAACGAAATCACCAATGTCAATTCCCAACAATGGATTGGGAAGCTGATCTAAGATGGGCTGATCATCTGGAAACCTTTAACTGTCCATTCCTGCGCTCAATGCTGGAAAAACACCTTGGCCTGTCTCAAGGGCCGGGATGGGGACTTGGGCATGCAAAATGTACTATCATTGTTCAAATGCCTGAGAAGGTAACCTGGATGAGAATTCTGCATTGGCTGCTCAGAAGATACCATGAATCTAAGAAGACTGATCACCACATGTATCACAGCCAGCACCTGAAGGTGAAGGGGAACATGTTTAAAAACAAGTGGATTCTCACGGAACACTTCCACAAGCTGAAAACAGACACGCCCAGCAAGATGCAGCTGGCTGACCAGACTGAGGTCTAAGATCAAGGAAGCACTCTGAGAGCAACTCCAAGCCAAGCAGGAAGAGATCACGAGGAATGAGACCAACAACTAAAGCTCTCCATCTCTTGTCTGTACATAGTGGCCTCTGCAATTGTATAGATCCGTCATTCGATAAAACAAGCCTTTATCTGTCTGAGGTGGAAAAAGTGAATTGCATTTATTTTTCTGTCAGCTCTTTGGATATGTTGAACATTCAACCAATTAAAAATCTGAGTCTTTCACATGAACTACTGTTCAATGAGATCTCCCTCTCTCTGTTTATGGGCTATTGATTTACTGAACCGAAATATAGGATTTTACGTTCATCTTTAGTTACATTTCATCCTATTAGCTTCAACCAATTTGATTTAACCTGTTGAGTTCTGTTGGCTCTTAGTATGTCATGATGCATGCTAATTATTCCTTCCAGATTTGTGACGTTTGTGACTGTGATTACAGTATAAAACTCTATTCATCCAAATTGTTGACTTAAGAAAGATAAATAAAAAAGAAGATAATGTGGAGTGTAATGCCTTGTAACACGTCACCCAAGCCTTGTGCTAAGTTGTTCCCAAGGCAATAAATGGCCACCCTTGATTTTCAGATGCCAGTGGTGTAACTATATGTATTTTCATCTAGTGCAAATTTCTGCATTTTTTTTCTGCCAGGATATAAAAGTCTTTAGTTGTATTTTGGCATTTCTCTCCAATATTCTTTAAACATCACCAATAGTACTTCGTAAGTCGCTTACAGAAGTCATTCCAACCAAAGAATAAAGTTCAACTAGATCTGGACACGTTCCCTGATTTAAATTATCTAGGTACCCTTATTCCGTGCTACTCTATTTGGACTTCCCTCAACTTCTTACTTCCCTACGACTCATATTTCTCTATTAATATTTGAGATTTAGTTTGCAGAAACTAACACAATATTGTAAATCAATCGTGTTTCAATAAAACAAATTAAAAACTTAAAAAAAAAATACTGCTGGGCTTCCCTGGTGGCGCAGTGGTTGAGAGTCCGCCTGCCGATGCTGGGGACACGGGTTCGTGCCCCAGTCCGGGAGGATCCCACGTGCCGCGGGGTGGCTGGGCCTGTGAGCCGTGGCCACTTAGCCTGCGTGTCCGGAGCCTGTGCTTCGCGACAGAAGAGGTCACAACGGTGAGAGGCCCGCATACTGAAAAAAAAAAAAAAAATACTGCTATCTAATCACTGAAAAATGACCTCACCAATATACAGAAAAAAAGAGGAAAGAAACACATCATCAACAACAGATGAGTTAGTGTGGTAGCTTTATATGTAATTTTTATCTTTTTTCTATTTTCTAAAAATATGGAAATATTTTTCACTTGTATTTCAGTTCAACCAGACATGGATTAGGCTCAAACTAAGAATTCACCAGACTATGGGAAAGCTTATACCACTGCATGTGTAAAATATATTTTTACTTAACAAATATTGATTCAGCATCTATTACTTACTAATGAAGAAAGAGCCAAAAGGTTCCCAAATGGAACAGTCTTACTGCAATTTGGAGAAACCAGTCATATTTTGTCCCTACAGCCTGTGTGTACCTGTTCTCCAGGTGAAATGCCCTTCTTCCATTTCCACCTCTCTACATTCTTACTCACCTTCCAAGGCCAATTTCAAATGCTAATTTACCAACAAAATCTGCCCTAATCCTGTCATCTAAATATGCCTTTGACAATTCAGAAGTCCCATCATATCCTGCCTTAAGATCAACTGTGTATGTTGAGGCCTTATGGGATGGGGGATATGTCCCTTATAGGCAAAAAATGTATTTTAGTCAGTTTTCTTAGATTCTCCATAGGACCTAGCGTGATATGCCATAAATACTTTCTGAAAAAAGGAAACAATTAAAGGTAATTAATCTACTCTGTTAACACTTCCCTATTCAGGAAGTAAATCAGCCCTCTCAAATCATAGTCAGATAGAACATGAGAGAGAATACTAAACACTGGCTGGGATAGTTAGGAGGATTAACTTTTTTCCACCTTTTTCTCTAGTCAGATTTGTTCTTTTGTGTAGAAACAAGGTCCTCATTGGTAGGTTGGTAGCTCTTAATCTCAGCTGGATGGAATTTCATCTCGTTTTCAGCTGGATAGAAGTAGGCTGGCTATATGCTTGTTAGTATTTAAGAAGTCCCTTACCTTGGGGGGTAGCACTTTTTATGCCTGGTTTTTCCTAAAGTTGAGATGGCATCCCAGGCAGAGGGCCTTCTTTCTGAAGAGTGTAGGGTTGCTATTAATCAAATAGCATCTTATGAGCTGCATGTCAGTGATGCTTATTTATCTATGGTTAGTATGGGTCCTTGAGCCACTGTGAGGGAGGTTTCAGTTCTGATCTGGATAATATATCTTATATATCCTTTCTAATTGTGGTTATGGCCATGTTTGTTGTTTGATACTAGACGTAACAACAATTTAGTGGCTGGGATTTTGCTTCTCTGTGGCCCAATGATTTAGAGCTGTGATTTCAAATTGTGGGCTATTATTGGGAGAATCACAGTTATTTTCCAGAGGATTCCCAAAACTTGTATGGGCATCAGACACTGTTATAAATAATTTTTCACCCGTCTGCTATTTTAGAGCTAATGTAGATGTGGTAGGGTTAATGAAATAGATTGACTTTACAACGGCACTTAATTTATGCTGGACTTCTGCCACTTGTCGACATAATTACTGGTTATAGTGCTAGCATATAGGGTTCATAAATCTGACCCTTAAAGGGGCCTAATAGCAAAATGCTAGGCACCAGCATATTAGAATCTGAGTGGCTTCTCTTTGAAGTAGACTGGGTTCAGGAAGGCAGCTGGGGCCTTCTGGAAGTCAAAGGACAAAGTGAGGACCCTGGACTGAACAAAGAAGGCCTCTTTGGATAGCCACAGAGACAACAAAGTGAGTTTGTGTGAGATTACAGTCTTAAACATAGACTTCTCTCACCTCCAGTCTCTCCCTATTCTTATCCCTGTCCCAGGTCTGTTATTACATTGAAGATACAGAAGTGCCTTCTTTTCATACATTTTTCCAAGATCAAGCTGAGGTGAAGAGAGAGCATGCAAAGCAGTTCATAAAATATCTAAGAAAATATAAGTGTAAAGTCTGCCTTCCGGTGATTAAGGTGACTATGTAACTTTGTTATGATGATCTCCATGGGGCCTTTGCTGGGTCTAGAGAACTAAATTCTGTTTTGTTTTGTTTTTGCGGTACACGGGCCTCTCACTGTTGTGGGCTCTCCTGTTGTGGAGCACAGGCTCCGGACACGCAGGCTCAGCGGCCATGGCTCACGGGCCGAGCCGCTCCGCGGCATGTGGGATCCTCCCGGACCGGGGCACGAACCCGCGTCCCCTGCATCGGCAGGTGGATTCTCAACCACTGCACCACCAGGGAAGCCTTAGAGAACTAAATTATTAGTTGCTCCCTGACTTGTTAGCTTACTCATGTTCCTACATGGGATGTTAGGGCAAGCATGTGTCTTCTTTGTAGCCTCTTCATATCATTTTGAGTAAACTTTAGCCGCTAAATGTATGTTTGGCTTTTCTCAAGGAGCCATACAAAGTGTCATCTCTGGACCACAGTGCCAGCATCACCTGGGAAGCTCACTGGAAATGCAGATTCATTGACCTCACTCTGATAAACTGAATCAGACTCTCTAAGGATGGGGCCCAAGGAGCTGTGTCTTACCGAGCTCTCCAGATGATTCTAATCCTCTGTATAGTTTGAGAAGAACTACTGGTCTCTTCCTAGAGCTGTTAGTATCCTATATTAGATCTTTAATTCAGATGTACGCTCAGGTATTTAATACAGCCATCTCTTCGATGTAGTAAAACAAACATTTTTTTCGCTGGAACAGACACTAAAGAAACAATCTGAGCCTTAGTCGAAGGTATTACATTTAGAAACATTCCTACTTATCTGAGGGGGTTCTTTTAACTCCAGGTCTATAAAAAAAACTAAATGTCTGGTGACTGAACTGAACCACCATCCAAAGCTAGTGAAATCCCAAAGCTAATGGAATAGTGCATATAACTGTGCTAGTGGTATCCATGCTTTGCAGAACATTAAAGTCACCTGGGGAGCTTTTAAAAACCCTGCTCCTCTGTCCCAATTAAGTCAGAATGTCTGCAGTTGAAAGCCAGACATCAGTATTTAAGGTGCCCCACTGATTCCATTGTGCCAGGAAGTGTGGAAATCATCGACCTCTGCAAATCTAGTCATAATTCTACCCAGGAAGTAGGATGTAACCAAGCTGTGCCTCAGGTAGGATAGTGACTCCCCTGTTTCTCTCCAACAGAGGCCTGATATAGATAACTGGGGAACTGGCAAACAAGCTATAGAGTCTGCTCTGCAGTTGGAGAAAGCGTTAAACACGCTGCTGCAAGAACTGAAGACCTTGGCTTCTAAGAATAAAGAAACCAATGTAAGTAGCAAACTGGTTCTGAAAGCAGTGTCATCTTTCACTTCTGGATTGTGGCTTGCTTTTGGGAAAGAGCGCAAGGCAATGGATTATCTAATGTGTCTATTTCCCCCGAAGGAAATATATGAACTTATTTCTTGGAGTAGTTGGGACATGGGAGGAGTAGGTGTCCTGGTAAGGAGAAATGCAACTCAATACAAGACGGGAAGACGACTTTTCAGGAATAATGCACTCTGGATATAAATAAACACATCTTGAGAACCACTGTCCTAGACTGCCCCTACAAAAGTGAATGTCAGTGGTGACCTATTCCATAGACTTCTCTGAAGTATTCTTGGTTAATAGTGAGCACTCTACCTCGCAGTGGTAACTTATTTCTCACCAACGCTTTAACTTTTCTGGAAGTCGAAGTGAAGAAAATGACCTAGTAGAAAAGTTATCAACCTAGATGCATACTGGACTTGCTGAGGAGCCCTGAAAATGATCAAATGCCTGAGCCTTATGCCAGAACACTAAAATTTAAATGCTTGAATGGGGTCTGGGAGCCTACTTGAAACTTACATGTCATTGAGATAGGGTGGAAAAAACATTGCAGTAGTAGCTTATTACTTAAATTAATCTGTACTTTTGATGAGTTGCCTTAACACTCATACTCATTGAAAGTGGATGTTTGTATTCATCTGGAGGTCTTGAAGGTCATAGATCAGTGCCCTTTGAACTTCAATATGCATATGAATTGCCTAGTTGCTTCTTAAAATATAGATTCTGATTTAGTAGGCCTGGAAGGGATTCAGGATTCTGCATTTCTGACAAGCTCCTAGGACTGCTGGACTAGGACTGAGCTATAATTTGGGTAGCAAGATCTTAGATTGCCTCCCATCGCAGACAAGGGCCTCGATGAGTTCTTCCTTGTTTTATTTCTGTAGCTCTCACGCTTCATGAAGAAGTTCCTGGATGAACAGACCAGGAACATAAGCTACCTGGAGTACCAGCTTGACTATCAGAAGGACTTAGAAAAGGCGGCCCAGAGTGAAGGACAGCCTGAAAAGGCTGCCGAAACATCTGAAACATCAGGTAAAGAGACAACATCTGAAGGCAGCACAGCAAATCTTCCCACCCAGCAGGTCCCAGCGTCAGCTACTTAAGAATCTTAATCTTCATTTGACAGAAGTGTGCTTTCCTTTTCACCTCACAAATAAATCTGTTTTGCATTATAATTATGTGTAAAGAGATTGATATTGGAGCACAAGAAGGGTTAGGTTCATTAATGTGAGTTTGGTGAAAGCTTCCTGAGGTACAGTGGGTGCATTTAAAAAAAAAAAAAAAAGGCTTTCCTCAACACCCAGATACAGAGTCAGGATTTGGTAAATTCAGCTAGTCCAAGTGGATATAGCAGAAATTAAGTAGTGAAACCTTAGGTCTCCCTAATGTCCTCCTCCCCCAGCTTGTATACACATCTTAAGTTTACAAAATAGTAGGGTTTTCTGAGTAAATGCAAAGCTAAAACTTAAGAACTCTTGGTCTAGAAAAGGTGACTCTCACTTGAAAGATATACAGTGTATAGGCAGCTGCAACCCAGGTGCATTTCCACAGCTGGAGGTAGGCATAGGGAACAGGAGGGTACCTAGGCAATTAAGCCACCACAGGGCTTCCCTGGTGGCGCAGTGATTGGGAGTCCGCCTGCCAATGCAGGGCATGCGGGTTCATGCCCCGGTCCGGGAGGAGCACGCGGAGCGGCTGGGCCCGTGGGCCATGGCTGCTGGGCCTGCGCGTCCAGAGTCTGTGCTCCGCAACCTGTGGCCCGCAACGGGAGAGGCCACAGCAGTGAGAGGCCCGCGTACCGCAAAAAAAAAAAAAGACACTACAGACAAGTGTTGGGATGCCCCGACCCCCTCCACTGTGGGCTACCTAGCAGCTACTGGGGTAACTGCTTTCAGGAGCAAACAATGAGCATGCAAGCTTGGATCAGACCCAAGGACCTCAGGTGGCTAGTACCACCTGGGAAGAAAGGGGGCGCTATAGGCTTGTATCCTGGCTTTAAAACTGACCAGCTCCATGGCCTTGAATAAGTTTTTATTTACCTCACTCATTGATACAGTTTAGTCATCTGTAAAGTAGGATTAATATTACTTAGTTCATAAAGTTAATAAGAGGATTAAGTATGTAAAGTATCTAAAAACAGCACCTGCTCAGATTATGTATTCTGTTATTTGTATAATAAACAGTGCCATTTCTTAAACTTGGAAAGCCAGTACATAATGAAAGCACTTAGAATAAGAAAACATGTGACTGAAATTGAGACAGAATCTTAAAACATTTAATATTAGAAGTATCTTGTTCTACATATTTAATCATCACCACAAGCCTATGAGATAGGTTCTTTTTTATCTCCATTTTACAGATGACACTGAGACAAAACAGTAACTTACCCAAAGTCATACCGCTACTTAGTGGTGGAGCTGAGGAAGGATTAATTAACTGTCTGATAAATATTCTCTATTATGGTGTTCATGAAAAGTGATGTTGAATTGCTAAAAAAAGCTTAATCGATTTCAACTTTTATGTTTATGTTTTGCTAAAACTACTTATTTTTGAACCATGCTTCTTTCATTTTATTTTTTTTAAATTGTGGTAAGAATACTTAACTTGAAATCTACCCACTTACATTTTTAAGTGCACAATACAGTATTGTTGGTACTTCACTGGTGGTTCAGTGATAAAGAATCTGCCTTCCAATGCAGGGGACGCAGTTTCCATCCCTGGTCAGGGAACAAAGATCCCACAGGCCACGGGGCAACTAAGCCCACACACCACAACTACTGAGCTCGCGCGCCTCAACTAGAGAGAGAGACAGAGAGAGAAGAAAAAAACCCCGCGTGCCACAACGAAGAGCCCCCGCGCCGCAAGGAAATAGCCCACGTGTCTCAACGAAGATCCCGCCTGATGCAACTAAGATGCAACGCTGCCATAAATAAATAAATAAATAAAAATTTTAAAAATACAGTCTTGATAACTATAGGTACTATGTTGTACAACAGATCTTTAGAACTTATTCATCTTGCATAACTGAAACTTCATATGAATTGAACAGCCCCCCACATCCCCTTTCTTTTGAATGTATGTCCATGTTTACTCTGCTCTTCTATTCATTCCTATGTTGCATGAATGTTTTTAGCAGGTCATTACTACTGCAATCACTGTGCAAAAATCCATATGCCATGTATGCTTTAAAATGTTCAATGCCCACTTGTTATGTTACATTTGTATTAATAAAGATTGCACATTAAAAAAAAAAAAGTATCTTGTTCTAAAGGGAATAGTCAACCACATAGTGGACTTCTTTTCCTACCTCTTCACACCTTTTCTACAAGTCACACATCTTGAAAATCACTGCCATGGCGAGCTTGTCACCACTGGAGAAATACTAGTTTACAAAGCATTCTTGAATAAATTCTCACTTTTATAATTACTAATTTATATCCAATTTTACACTTGTTAATGAATGATAGAATTTCACATTGAATTCGGAATAAGACAAGACTGCATTATTCTCAGCACTACTTATTGTTTTTTCTGAATGTTCTCAAGCAGAGTTTCTCAACCTCAGTACTACTGACATTTTGAGGCAAATGACCCTTGTTATGTGGAGTAATCGTTTGCATTGTAAGGTGTCTAGCAGCACCCCTGGCCTCTACCTACTAGATGGAACCTTCTCCAGTTGTGGGAAAACTGTTTCCAGACATTGCCAAATATCTCTTGAGAGGCAAAAATCACCCTGTTTGAGCACCACTATTATAGGCAATGCAATAGAAAAGCTAAAGGAAAAGATCTGTTTAAAAAAACTTATTTAAACTTAGAAAAGTTATAAACTTTCTTGTTAAGTTATAAGTCATCCTGCATCTAGCCAGGATGCAGGATGAATATCTACAAATCAACTTTTCATATATAGTATCAACAAATGAGAGAATATTTTTTAAAAGATATCTTGTTTAGCCACAAATATCAATACATAAGATATCTAGGAATAATTTTAATAAAAGTAGCTTGGAAACTTTATAAAATAAAACTAAAATGTTTCCTGAAAGAAAGAAGCTTTGAATAATGAAAAGAGAAGAGGAAGATTAAATTTGAAAATTGTGACACCTTCCAAATCAAAGGTCTAAAGCAATTTTGTTCATGATCCTAACAGGATTTTGAAGGTTTAGACAGTTTAGTACCAAAGAGTAAGCTCCGGTCATGGGGAAAAACACGGGAACACACATAAAACTTCCTTAACATCATTAGTCACCGGGAAATACAAACCCCAAAACCACAATGAGTCACTATATACTCATCAGAATGGCTAAAATTAAAATGACTATCAACACCATATGCTGGCAAGGTGGTGAAATAACTGAATCTCTCACACATTGTTGGTGAGAATGTAAAGTGGTACAATCACTTTGGAAAAAGACATGTCATTTTATCTTATAAAATAAGCATATACATACCTCATGCCTTTTGGGAGGACAAAATTCAGCCCATAATAAATAATATTGTTAACTAAAATTGAGTAGAGAAAGCTACAAAGAAAAGAAAGGAAGGAGTTACAAGCTAATTCACTTGATGTTCACAGTAGGAGTCAATAGATACTGCCTGAAGAAAGAGGGTTCTAAAAGTTTTATGTAAAAGTCTAATTATAAAGACAGTCACTAGAACAAAAATATCATAAGGACTATAATTTTTAATATAACAGCCTCCATAGTGAAAGCTTATATAAATACAATCATCATACTACATTTTATTTTGTAACCCTTATGTTAGTCCTTGTTTTAGCCATAGTTTCATTGTTAAATACATTCAGTGTTCACTCCCAGGACTTTGCTGATGTTTCCCTGATCATTTTTCTGCTTGGGTCAATTTTGTTCTTTGGGAGGTACTTCAGCAAGGCCTAACGCAGATAGTATTCCCACAGTCCATGAATTTGCAGAAATTTTTGCCTGTACCTTTGACACTTGAAGAATATCTTGGATGGATTTAAAATCCTTGGCTCAAACTCTCCTCAAGTATCTGATAAATATTGTTCTGTTTCTGTTAGCATTGACTCTAGCTATGCCAACTTGTCTTTCTTTCACTTATAAATGACACAATGTTTTTGCCCAGATTCTCAAAGTGTGCTACTAGTGTTAGTAGGCTACATCTTGTGTTGGCAGGGTATGTGTTAGTAGGATATGTCTTGGTATTGATCATTCTGAGACAGTTTTCTTCCATATCTTGGGTATGCTTTTTAATATACAAATTCAAGTCCTATTTCACAGCATTTTCTAATGTTTGCTTTACTCCATTCTTTTGTATTTCCTCCAACTGGAAGAACTCCAATTATTCATATTTTGAATCATTTTTGCCTACCATTTATAACATTTACTTTAAAAAAATCTTTTTCCTTATTTCCCTTATACTTCATTTTTTCCATATGTATAAACTGTGTCCTGCTGTGCTTTCTATAGGGTCTATTTCTTCTTATGCTATTTGTAATTTAGTCTCTATTTATGAAATGATTCTGTTTCTTCCATTTCTTTCCTAAATTTTACTAGGTACCATTTCAGATCTTCCTATCGACTGACCATCAGCTTCCTTTGGTGGCCAAGTCTTCCCTGTGTTAATGTATCTATTTATTTTTAAAAGGTTACATTCCATTTACAACTATTACAAGATATTGGCTATATTCCCCAAGTTGTACAATACATCTTTGTAGCTTATCTTACACCCAATAGTTTGTACCTCCCACTCCCTCACCCCTTCACCCTTCCCCATACTTGTAACCACTAGTTTGTTCTCTGTATCTGTGAGTCTGCTTCTTTTTTGTTATGTTCACTAGTTTATTGTATTTTTTTAGATTTCATGTATAAGTGATATCACGCAGTATTAGTTTTTCTCTGTCTGATGTATTTCACCTAGCATTATGCCCTCCAAGTCCATACATGTTGCTGCAAATGGCAAAATTTCATTCTTTTTATGGCCGAGTAGTATCCCATTGTGTCTATGTGTGTGTGTGTGTGTGTGTGTGTGTGTGTGTGTGTGTGTGTGTGTGTGTATATGTGTATATATATATATATATATATGTATGTATATATACCACATTTTCCTTATCGAGTCATCTGCTGAT